AGTTGCAGGCTATCTGCAGATAGCTAGTCCTGTATGGCGCACTCAATGCCATCGGCCCCCTTGATTCGGTTTCGTATGCCCAACCCGATGCCGACAGCCGGGGGCGAAGAGGGATGATATGTATAAGAATCATGATATATAAATTTATTCAATGATATAAGTATAGGGAGGTGCTGGTTCCACACTAACAACATAAATATCAACTCACTTTTTAACCCTAAAGCTACGTTATCTGCACCTTACAATTGCGCTAAACCCCTTTAGACAGAGTTTGCCACGCTCGGCACATCATTGCCCCTTCAAAACACGACCACATCTCCAATGACAACACCATACGGGTTGGAAGCTTGATAGAACCTCATGGAGCGCTCCGAGAATATAGCCTCTCAAGCATGTGTCGCCTGCAAACGACAAAAACGAAGATGTGACAAACGGTTACCCCAGTGTAGCCTGTGCCTTCGCACCAGCCGCACGTGCGACTATGCTGATACCCCAAAGCCGCCCCCGACTGCGGCCGACCTCGAAAACCTTCAAGCAAGGCTAACCGAACTGGAAGAAAGACTTGGAAGCATCACCGAGCAAGATTCTTTGTCTGCTACAGCCGGCATTTCGAGCTCAAGCAGCCTTGCCACTGAACCTATCGGACCCAACCGAGAACCTACTAGCTTTCCGTCAGCTTTGTTTTTGGATATAGACTGCTATAAATGGTCCAATATGCAACTCCCAAGGCCAGCTGCCAATATTCCGATGGTCGGTAGCAAGCAAACTATCGTTACTTTGTCCGTACCATTATCACTGCAATCTTGCTGATGAATATACAGGATATACTCTCCATCCTCAATCAGCCCAATTTCGTTATGGACACAACTTCGCTTTACTTCGATACAATCCATCCGTGGGTGCCAATCATTTCGAAGAAGCGACTGGACCTCGGCATCTCGCTGAAGGACGGTGGGCCAGACATTGCGCTGCTTTTCCTCGCAATGAAGCTAATCACCCTCCCACCACCGCCTGCTCCGAAGATAACCAGCAAACTTTATTCGTCTGCGAAAGGTTTCTTGGCGACCTTAGAAGCCAGTGGAGCTGTGTCATTTATCTACCTACAGGCTATGACTTTGATAGCCTTGTACGAATACAGTCACTCCATCTATCCGGCGGCTTGGATGACCGTAGGAGCATGTGCCCGACTCACCGAGCTACTTGGTATTACACCTGGTAAAGATACAATGAAAATTATGAGTCCCGCTGTATGTCTATAAATGGTCCAAGGAACGCTACGGGGAAGGATTGTCACTGATTATTTACAACAGATGACTTGGACAGAGCTGGAGGAGAGAAGACGTGTGTGGTGGGCTATATACATCCTGGATCGCACAATCTCCCTAGGCAGCCGGAGGAGATTTTGCCTCCCAGAACCTGCAGATACAGATGTCCTCCCTGTGGATGATGACGCATGGGTGAATACACATCTGCTCTTTATCTTGTATTGTTGTCTCTCGACTGATATCTTTTTCTCCCAATAGGATCTGGGTGATGTAGCCAACATAATATATTATCAGGTTACAACACCCCTTTTGACTCCTATGTCGCCCTTCTCTCGCCTCTGTCAGTCGGCCATGTTCATTAGTCGCGTTGCCGCACACCGCAGCGATTCGCCAGCAGGCCTTGCAGACCATATCACTTCTGTTCTTAGCCTTACCGAGGACCTGAACACCTTCAGCTTCATTGTCGCCGAAGAGATGGACTCTTCCCCCACGAACGGATATATTAGACTCCTTGCTCCTCGGTGTCTGACATGGTCGGCCCTCTTTTTGCTGCTAGACAACTACTGCTGCCCAGAAAAACTTAGCAATGAACCAGGTTATACTACCTCCGGCGACGTTAAAGGACCGGACGAACTCGCCGCCCAGGTCCAGGCCACCCTGGTAGTGCGGAATATCAGCAACCAGGCGCACAGAACAACCACGGATATTATGGATTTTGTGTCTAATCAACGTAACGACCAAATGGGGAGATTGAGCCCGTTACTACTGGATGCACTGTACTGCTCCATGGTGACATTCCAATGGGTCTATCGCGAAGGCGCCGACGAAGAAGCCAAGGGCCTACTAGCGGATGTAGAGGCTTGCATGGGGAGGTTGAGTCAACGGTGGAAGTTGGCGTCTGAGTATCTTGCTCTCAACGAGGTTTATCGTGGAGCTGCAAAGTAACTTCGATGGTAGCATCAATATAACTCGTTGAAGATGGTGCTAGGGCGGCAATAACGAGTGCACTGTCACATACCTCGTTATTAATATAGTATGTGTATATGTCTGTTCATTGCTGTTCTCAAGGCTCCAAGGTAAGGCCTCTAGGCCTGAGACTGCATTGGCAGGAGTTATTCTGCAACGACTCCTTCGATCGTTTGCGCTTTCATGCTCTTTCAAATGGCTTGTATAGGCTGAAGTGTAAAGATACTGACAGATTGCCAGTTTACGACCGTGGGAAAATGAAACCCCAGCTAGGCCTATGTGTTATGTACGGGTCGAATAACCGAAAGGCACGGATCAAAGTGACACAATCGAGGACAAGTTGTGGTCAAGAAATTGACGACTGCGTAAAGTTGGAATTGCGTGAGCGTCCGCACAATCAATGTGGTTTATCTCTGGTGCTTGCCGGGATGACCGCCTCTCCGACTGGCTTGGGTCCCTCCAAAGCTCACCCTGGGGACTGGTGGGTCGTTCCAAATATTTTTCCCGCTAGTTATTGTCTCGAACTTTGTCATTCCAGGTCAGCGGGGGGTGCGGCCGCATTTAGCGGCAGAAAGAGACGCCACAGAAAACCGTCATCTGAAATTAGGTTCGGCCATCCGTAGTAGATTTGTTGCAAGGTGAGCTCTCCGGATGCAACATAAAGAGCTATTTAATCCATCGGCTCCCACCACAACTAGACATCTTTTTATTAGTATTTCCCACCTTCACAACCTCTGCCCGACACAATGAGCCTTAACTTTTCAATGAGATGCAGCACTGTTCTGCCTAATAAGCCAACATTAACTGAGAAGAACCTGCCGGACCAAACTGGCAAGGTGCGCAACCCGTATCACAATCCTCCCTCCCCGATCAATTAGCTAATTTTCTAGAACAGGTGTTCATTGTAACAGGTGCCTCGGGGGGACTCGGGAAACTCCTCACCAAGATTCTGTACCAACATAACGGCAAGGTTTATCTTGCTGCCCGTTCCGAGACGAAGACCAAGGAGGCAATCGAGGAGATAACGGCTGCCCATCCATCCTCCAAGGGCGAACTGCTATTTCTCAAGCTTCAACTTGATGATTTGACCGCTATCAAGCAGACAGCCACCGAGTTCCTCGCAAAAGAAAATCGCTTGGATGTCCTGTGGAACAATGCGGGTGTCATGATCCCGCCAGCAGGCTCTCGAACCAAGCAGGGCTATGAGCTTCAGTATGGAGTAAACAATCTCGGCCACTTCCTGCTGACCTATTTTCTTCGCCCGGCACTTGAGACTGCGGCAAACATCGCACCCAAAAACTCTGTCCGCGTCATCTGGGTCTCCTCGAGTGCTGCCGACGCTGCACCAAATCCTGCTATCGATTTGACTAATATGGACTACCACAGAGACGAGGGCGCTTGGATGAAGTACTCTCGGAGCAAGGCAGCTTCTGTAGTTCATTCGGCGGAGTTTGTGAGAAGAACTAAAGGTACTGGCATTATTAACTTGGTGAGTACATCACGGCGTATACTCCGGCAGGCTTCATCAGCACTGACTGCAAACTCCAGTCTCTCAACCCTGGCAATTTCGTGACGAATCTCCAGCAAAATATGTCCAAAATGGAGCTCACGATGTTTGTAAGCTTGCAACCCGCTCTCATGCATTCTTTGTTTCTCTACTATACTCAACTAATTATTTTTGTAGAAACTCATCGCATCGGAGCCGATCAATGGCGCCTATACCGAATTGTTCGCCGGTCTCAGTGACACTATTACAGAGGAGGATAACGGGGGATGGGGTGCGACACTCCTGCGCAATTTTACTCTACTGGACATACTCTAACCTGCTAACCTGTTCTCGTTAGTTTCGCCTTTCGGTAAGGTCGAAAAGGTCCGGAAGGACTTAGTGGACCCAACTCTTGGAGAGAAGTTCTGGGACTGGAGTTTGCAACAAGTAAAACCTTATATGTAGGGATGTCGGATAAATTGTTATGTCCTAGCACAGCTCCATAGAGGAATATTAGGATTTTCTCAAGTGTAACTGAATCAATATCCTTCTATACACTTGTCTTTGTCAATTGGGATAACTACAAGAAGGCTCGCGTGCTGATAGTGGTCAGGGGTTTCGAGATCCTTTGTGCCGAGTAGTAACTATAACTGTATTTTTCAACTTGAACCTGAATCAGAGTATCAAGTCTGGCTTTTCTCATGATGGGTGGGTTATGAGTATTATATAAGGGGTAAAGCATGCGTTAATTATTTTTCTACATCTATCTAGTAGAAGCCGATCGTCTTTCCCGAGCGTATTCTGCTAAGAGTGATCTCACTGTTCTAAATGGATGCTCATGCTTCCTAGTTCTGTTGGGGTAGAGATCTACACGAAGAGTCCCGCGCGGGAAATGCGGCCGCATAACCCGCACCCTAACGGGTTTGACCCAGTGGGACAGACTGATCCGGCAAACTTAAAAACTGAACAGAAGTGTTATATTGCACGTATAATCGCACAGGTCCTGATACGTATCCACAGAGCCATGGATTATCGGGAAAGAATGATCACCGTTGCTTAGAAGCCTGTTGCACCGGGCGGCATATGCTGACGCGGAGGAGGCGGCCGCTGGCCTCAAGAGGGTCATTAAGGCGAATGGGATAGGCCCTCACACAAAATGTCCTACATCTAGTATAGTGTCAAACTTATTCTAATTGCAGCCCGCACCATAGAATACATTATTATTCTTAATACTCGATTTCTGGTTATTAAACCAAATCCACCAGTCAACCGCATCAGAACCATCAAGCCGACGCATCCATATATGCTTCCAGCTCCCTCTCTGTCCACTCCCAAAGCTCCTTCCCGAGTCCCAAATCTTGGGCATACTTACTCCCATCCTTTGCCTTCCCAACAGGAACGTAATACTGCCCACTCTCAACCTGGGGAGAAGTAGCAGCCCAAAGCTGATTCAGGGCCCCGGTCTCAACATCGACCCCTGTAACAAGGCTCGCAATCCACCACAGCATCCTCATAATAAAACTCCCTTGACCCATAGTAGTCGCCAAGTTTGTCCGCACGAGCCCCGGATGAACCAGCGGCACAGTTAACTGGGGATACTGTCGTGCCATCTACCTCCCCCATAGTAGATTGGCCAGCTTGCTCTGACCATACCGCGCAACAGTATTCATCCCCTCCGCGCGGCTTTTGAGCGTGTCGAACTGGATCCCAAATTCCGGAGCATAGTTATGCGCATAAGAAGTCAAAACAACTACTCGCACATCTAATCCTCCTGGCAATGCAGTTGTCTCCAGCAGAAGAGGTGTCAATAGTTTCGCGAGTAGTGCGTGGCCCAAATGGTTTGTTCCGAATTGTATCTCGTAGCCTTCATTGGTCAGGCCCGGGGGGACTGACATTATTCCTGCATTCAAGAGCAGGATATCAAGTCTGGACAATTCAGATAGAAACCTTTCGGCTGCTTGTTTCACAGAGTCTAGGGACGTTAGGTCCATGTCGAGGGTTTTGATGTTGACTGGTTCGGGAAGACCGCTTTTGATAGATGTAACTGCGGAGGCGGCCTTTTTAGGGTCGCGAGCCGCAAGCCAAATTTCCTTGGGTCCATGTTTGGCGAGCTCAATGATGGACTGCTTCCCTAGGCCACTGGTGCCACCTGTCACTAGGATGACTTTGTCTTTTAGGGAAGGGATGTCGGTTGAGGGGGTGAACGTGGGCTTGGTTGACGTGAACATCTTTGCTCTGCTGGTGATCTGTTTGACTAGGTCGCTTGATTGTTGAAAGATGCGCGATAACGCTGGTTCAGTTGCTCTGGGACTGACTGGATATTATAGTGAGTTTCTCAAAATTGCATGCAGTGCTTCTGATGAACAACTATCCGCGGGCTTCCCGGACCCTAGTTATGGTATGACTTATCTCCACCGCGGCCGCTTCCTCCGCCGACTTAGTCCATCAGGGGTCGTTGGCTTAGTTGTCATTGTCGAATGCGGCCGCCTTGCCCAACTTTAACGCATAGCAAAGAGAGCAGAACAAGAAATAAGCTTTAAGGATCATATTTGAAGAGCACGAGAGTCTCCGCATGGGGTCTCTTGGGGGCTCGGTCTTGTCGCCCAGAGGGATTTCTTTGGCATATTGAATGATTATTCTCGGTTTATTACTAGTAGGAGTTCGAGGAGCAGTTCAGTATCGATAATGATTCTTTTACCTTAACCTTATTTCTTCTTATTCTTCTATTCTAAGATTTACTTTAATATGACCTTCTGTGGACCCGTTTACAGGACGATTAATCAATCAGTGTCTATCACTTGATATAACCAGCATGGCTTAACGGCGCCGTCACTCTGATTAATCGACTCTCAATTCCTGCTATCCGGGCTACTGGGTGGTCTCCGGAAATGGACAAGCTAGCACGGGAACCCCGACATGGGCCTCATTTCAATGAACTCCGGCGGTTCCTTAGCCAAATCCAAGCCCACAAACAAGCTTGGCCCTTCCTCTCTCCAGTCAACAAAGACGAAGTCCCGGATTATTACAAGGTCATTGAATCCCCAATGGATCTACCGACAATGGAAGAAAGATTGGAGAATGATTCGTATTCTACCCCGAAAGCCCTTGTCGACGATCTCAAGTTGATCTTTCGCAATTGTCGGCAGTATAATGAGGCAACAACGGTATATTCCAAGTGCGCATCCAAGCTGGAGAAATACATGTATTCTCTAATCAAGGAGATACCGGAGTGGTTCGACTTACTGGAGGATTGATCCTTGCGCCTCAATTATTCTGCTGGATTTCAGCCTACCGCTAAGTGATTGAAGCAGAGCTTTGTAAAGACCGGTTGGTATTTGCATTGCTGAGTGTAGGGCGGTACTGGCCATGAGCTTTGACGAGGCAAAAAAGACTGTAAAAATATAAAAACATACAACAGAAGGGATTCGCTGGTGGTCACCCACCCAACTACTAACCTCCCGGCGTGTGGCTTAAGTACGGCTGAGCGGACGGGAAGCCCTGTTTTCCACACCCTGTGGTCGTATGTGCTTATTTTATTGTTGAAAGCCCTTATATACTGTGTCCTAAAATATGATGCAAGAATATACAAGAATCTAGAAGATCAGATATCGAGCAATATGCAGACTCAAGTTTAGGAATTCGACTTGCGCGCCAGCATGTGAATCACATTCCGCACTTGATTTACATCCGTATCTATTCCGATTCCAAATGCTATTCATACTGTTCTCACTGTAAAAGAGATCCTAGTTACTCCCGCGAGGATATCTCATATCCAGCTTGTGCTAGACTAAATGTTTCTGCTAACATGAATTTCTGAGTCTGATTTCATATAGTACTTAACACCGCATTGCTGAGAATTGCATGTTGATGAACTATCAAGACTATCTATATCTCCCGCATGAGCACAGCCCTATAGCGCACCTTACCATCTCTCAATTGGCTCATCGCCTCTTCTATGCCAGCGCTAGTGAACGGAAAGGTCATTATAGTTGGATAAATCTGCTTCTTCGCCGCAAACTCCAAAAGTGCCTGTGTACTCTGACGGGAAGCAACCAAGGAGCCCTGGATCTTACAGCCCTTGAAGCATAGCTCCAATGTAGGAATTGGAGAGGGCTCAAAAGTTGCAGTCAGGGGATAAATAGCACTAGGGCTATCCATGAGTGGTAGGATTCTGTCCACAACGTGTCTAATCAGTCATACGCCCTACGCATGAAGCACCAGGAGCAACAGCAGAACAACTCACGAAGAATACTTCACATTAGCACTCCCACAAAGCAGGAGATGCTTCAAAGGCTTGAATGACTGGAGAGGGCTTTCCGCCCGGAAGACATGGTACTCCGACGCGCCGTACTCCATAGCCTCTTGCCTCTTAGCCTCGGAGCTCGAGAGCACGACGACATGGTACCCCATAGCAGCAGCCAGCTTGATAGCCAGGTGACCGAGACCGCCCACGCCCTGTATGCCAACTCGATCACCAGGGCGCATGTCGAACCGTGTCAGAACTGTCCACACCGTAGCCCCTGCGCACATCAGGGGTGCGGCATGGGCTGTTTCCATCTCGTCCGGGATGCGAAACACACAGTTTGCATCCCAGATGGCGCCGTAGCTGAAGCTGCCGTTGTTGAAATCGTTTGTGCCGTATTGTTTCTTTTCTCGGCAATATTGGTCCATATCTTTGGCACCCGGGCAAGGTTCGTTAGTATACTTCCAAGATATAACAAGTCATGAAAGCGATGGCTGTATAGATATCTTACCTTTCGCGCAGTTATCACATCGCGCACAGATCCCATGAGTGAACCCAAATCCCACGCGGTCACCGATTTTGACCGTCCGCACGCCGGGCCCAATGGCCTTGATGATCCCCACACCTTCGTGGCCCAGGACTTGACTTGTCTTCAGATAGTGCTCATCTGTTCCGCAGACGCCGGATGCGAGGGTCTTGATGAAGACTTCGTTGTAGTCGAGATCGCTAGAGACTTTGTCGCTGACGATCTTGCTCTCGGGAGAGCCGCGGAAGACATCGTAGGTTAAAGCCATGTTATTTCTGAGAGACACGTTTGAAATAATGATTGTATAGATAACAGAAGAGACAGATGGATAGGAACTTGTCTAGGTATCTTATATACCACTTTCTCTGCCTATTCAGTTGTTGCGGAGGTATTCTCCGCTGCGGGTTTTATTGTCCGTCCTCGCCTGCCCTACATTGCGGGTTTTTGACCCGTCTCACCACCGTCAACTGTCTGACAAGCAAGTAGGTAGCTTACGAGACCGGAGAGGCACCAATTGAATTGAAGGAGATCCATTGGTCATATGAGCAAATGTACGTTTTGGAGACATTGGATGACTACTAGAGTGATTATAGTTAGTTTGTCATCGATGTTGTGTTTGGACCAGATAGCTGACTAATCAATTTTATCATTTCTAAGGAAAGAAGGTCTTGGACAATCATCACCAACAATAGCATGTGTACGCTGATCTTCGATCATTATTCCGTCTCTATTTACATGATATGACTTCTATTACTGGTTAGGATAATGCAGAGTGAGAGAGTACTTCCAGCCCGACATGCCCGACGTCGGACGGTCCCCCGAGGCCGGATAATGACCGCGTGTGCTCGGTGTCAGAAACGGAAAATCCGTGTGAGTGCGCTGATGGCACACGCTGGCTTCTTCTATCATTAAATCTAATCCAATAGTCTCTTCTAGTGCGACGGAGTTACTCCCGTCTGTGGGGGTTGCCAACGAGCCCATGTAGAGTGCGTTGGAGGAGTTTCAGTCCGTGACATTTCCCGAAAGTAAGCCAGCTAATCATTGATCTGAACAGCCTGCTTATACCCACATACTAAAATACTATTCTAGTTACGTCGATGAGCTAGAAGCGCGAATAGAATGGCTAGAGTCCATCATCCGGGAGCACCTACCATACATTGACCTCCACAAACCTGATGAACCTGAGGGACGTGTTCCCTTGGATCGTCATCGTGGCTCGGTCAACAGAGGATCGAATCCTTCCTCTGCTCCTGAAGCAAATACTTCCCAAATTGGGAACGACAAGGATGACTGGGGCCCAGCGCGTGACATCACGGATCAACTTGGACTGGTCTCGATCAACGCAGAGGCGGATCTTCGATACTTGGGCCCTTCCAGCGGATTATTCTTTACCAGGTTCGTGCTAACCGGTCTTGGACGACGAGCCGGATTGGCACAAGAACCAGTTCCCCAAACCGGAGGAACCAACTTCGTCCCTGCTGAGCTTCTCGATATTCAGCCCAAAGGTCTTCCATCTGACCTAGAACAGGCCCAGTGGTTGACACAGGCGTATTTCCAAGCAGTCCATGGGCAATACCCATTCCTGCATCAACCATCTCACCTAGAACTTCTGCAAAAGGCTTACAATGGCATCGAACTCCTCCTGCCCATCGATCAATTCCAGATCTACATGGTCCTGGCCATTGGGGCCACTATCCGATCGCAACAACTGAAGATACTTCTTTCTGCAGAAGGATACTGTGCCTCAGCGATAGTTCATTTGGACACCATTTTCCAGAAATCGTCGGTGGGTGGCGTACAATGCATGCTGCTTTTGCAAATGTACACATTTCATAATCCTTCCTCGGCGATCAGTCTGTGGACACTGCATTACCATTGTCTGGCTCATGTTTTGGAACTTGGTTTGCATCGTAATGTTCGAGGCTCTGCCTTCACCGAATTCGATCAAGAGATGCGCACCCGGGTTTTCTGGTGCGTGTATGCAATGGATCGTTACCTGTGCACTTCACTCGGTAGGGCAATAGGTATTATGGATGAGCAGTGTGATCTGAGGGTATCTTGCGTTCTTCCATGCAGGCTCTACTTAAGAGAGAAGACAACGCTAATAGTCAACATAGTTACCACACGACATCAACGACGAGGACCTACGACCAGACCAACCGATCCCAAATCAACCCTCTACACCAGGGATAACCGACATGTCTAGTGCGATCCACCTCTTCAAACTCGCTCGCTTCAGCGCGGAAATAAAATGCGTTTTGTACTGCGTCGACCGAAATTACCCCCCTTACACGCATCCCACCATCACAGACCCTAACCACTGGCAACAAGATATACTTCACCGTCTACGGCAGTGGAAAGCAACCATTCCTCAGCATCACCCACAAAGCCCATCGTACTATCTAAACAGTCTGCTCGAGATCAGGTACCATGAGTTAGTGATGTTGGTCGTACGCCCAAATCCTCTCTTCCCATACCCGTCCAAGACCTTGATCAAGTTGTGCTTTGATTCCGCCCTGGATTGCACAAGGCTTTACCGCCATTTATACATTACCAGCATGCTGCACTATAACCGGACGATTGTGCAATCGTTGTTCCTGTGCACGATCACTATATTTTATTGTATCTGGGCACCAAATGGATTAGAAGAAGAAGAAACAGCCCTCGACACCGTCTTGCAAGCCCTAAAGTCCGCTTCAGACATCCTCAGCGCCACCGGGGAATATTGGCTTGAAGTGAAACGAACTCGCGATGTATTGGATTGTATCACGAAGGCTACGGTGCGGCGGTTTGCTCGGAGGCTTGGTCATTTATCGGCATCACTTCCATCAGGAAGTAGCGGGACGTTGCACGATAATTTCAGTGGTCAAGGGGTGTCGATAATGGACTTGCCTACAACTACCTTCAATGAAGGGTCGTGTACCGATGGCATCACTGGTAATGGTAATGCAGGGCCGGTCTCGGTAGATCCCTACTATGTGCCCACGCAGCAGCCGGATGCTACACCTGAGCTTTTGTCGTTTTTCATGGATCCTCAGCCGGAGTCGGCGATGGAGTTGTTAGATTTCTCATGGGATGTGTTTGGTGGGGTGGATGATGCAATGCAGGAGATGATGGCTGGTACTTCAGGAGAGTGATGAGATTCGGGATTGTGAATTATTGACATTTCGTGCGTTGTCATAGTATATACCGCTCAGTGTTGTGCATCTAAGTTGCTTTGTGAGTCTCTATGCCGGTTACGTTTTACGAAGATTCTGGTTGCCGCAGGTGTTCACTTCAACTGTAGTGGATGCCTCAGGCCTGTATACGAGGGAGTGTGATTTGGCCTAGTCTCTGCCTAGCCGCTGTCAGGTCAGGTTCTTGCAATGGTGGAAAAGTGAGGTCTCCGACTTATGATATGGTTGATATCGTGTTGTCGAAAGAAAAGAATTCCGTTAGATGGTAACTTATGATGCCAGGTCAAGTCACTGTATAGACGACCCTCGCCATTATCATAGGCTGTGCAATGCTATTACACCAACACTTCGTCTCTATTATGCACACATTATCATGATTATGTAATATATCAATTATCCCTCTTTCGGCGTTGCACTGCTGGTCCCTTGATTGTCCTCGACCTCGCTGGTATGTGTCTTATCTGCTGTTTCAGTAGTCGTAAGTTTGTCATCCTTGGTAGGGTCGCTGCCGCCAAAGACGCCTTGCATTTCTTCGAGAGAGTAGTTGGAGGTCTATTCCTTGTGAGCAGATTCATCAGTAATCCAGAGTGGGGCATAAGACGCACCTCCTTTAAGAAAATGAATGAATATACGACGATCGCGTAGTTGAAGATCGCAAACATAAGAAACATCCTCCATCCGATATTTTCAATCGCATGCGGAGTCACCTGCGACATCATGAAGTTGAAGAGCCATTGTGAGGCTGCGCCGACGGTCACACCGATCTCACGAGTGCGACTCGAAAAAATCTCTCCGACGTATAGCCAGGGAAGAGGACCCCAGGACATGTTGAAACTGAATGCTTCACAATATGTCATGATGATCATGGCGATTCCCGCTGGCGAGGCGTTTCCGGTGTCGCTGGAGCTGGTTGGATGTGTGGCCAAGATGCAGGCAATGATGAGCATAAACGACCCCATCGCGGCGGCACCAACCATGAACGGCCATCGCCGACCGATGCGATCCATAACGAAGATCTGGAAGACCGAGACACCGACTACTTTAACCACACCGAAGAAGCCAGTCACCAGCTTGCTTGAGTTTCCTGCACCCACAGCGGAGAAGATCTGAGTTGCATAGTAAGCCAGGGACGTGTTTCCTGTAAGTTGCGCCGCTAGCTGAATCGTAAAGGCGATGAACAATCGATAGCGATTTGCGGGAAGCAGCAGTTCCCGGAAGGTGAACCCTTGCTTGATTCGAGCTTCCTCCTCAATACCAGCCAGAATTTCATCGAATTCTTGCTGGAGCTCCGCAGTCTCTTCCCCACCTCGTACCCATTTGAGAGACTCTCTAGCCTTCTCAATTTTGCCTTTAGAGGCGAGCCATCGAGCGCTCTCTTTAACTGTGCACATACCGAAGAGGAGAAGGGACGAGGGGAGAAGCTGCAGGCCCAGTGCGATCTGCCATTGTTTTGTTGCGGATGGCTGGTCTATCGACACAGCGTACGTGACCCAATAGGCGACCATGACTCCCAAAGCGAAGAACAACTGGAAGCAAGACCCGAGTCGGCCACGTAGATCCTTAGGAGACATTTCAGCCGCATACACTGGAATCAGCACCGTTGCGGCACCAATGCCGAGACCAGCTATCACTCGGCCAGCATAGAACGTGCCCAGAGTATGCGAGTTGACGACCTGCAAGATGGTACCGACGGTGAAGACAAGGGAACTGATGATGAGGCCGAGCCGGCGGCCTAGGTAGGATGCGATGGGTGTGGTGAAAAAGCAGCCGAAAAAGGCGCCTGCTTGGAGGATCGAAACGGCATTGGAGTTGACCGAGGTTTTCTGAGCGACCGTGTATCCGAAGTCATTTTGGAAAGAGGTCAGCGTAAGAACACCGCCTGGCCATTGTCTGGTTAGCTCGTCGTTGCATTAAACAATGATTAAGGGTGCGCAGCGTACTAATAACACCGGTGTCGAATGCAAAGGCGAAAGAGCCCATGCAACTAGCAGACACCAGATAGATAGCTCGAAAGAGGCCCAATTTCCGACCCATTGTGAGAAAGACTGGTCCTCAAAGCGACCGCTTTCGGTGCGGGTTAGGAGCAGTGAGAGCCGATTTGGGAAGTAAGGGGGACAGAGAGCCAGATAACCTGTCAGTGCCAGCACTGATATTTAAGACGATCAGGCCAAAGTCTCGGTGGCTCAGCTGGCAGACCCCTGTTGTTGCGTGATTCGCGCTTGCGCGTGCTACACGGCAACTATAAGCTTCCGCGGGATATAACAAGTAATGGACTATCCCATCAGCTGTGGCGCCTGCAGGTAGGCAGGCCCCTTGCTTTTGTGCAATCAGATGGCAGGTATGCGGCGTCCGTGCGAAGATCCTTTATATTGACATATCGATGAAAGTGGTCATCAGGCAATAAACCCCCGCCCCGGGGCGCTCGACTGGAGCACTAGCGGAGGGGAGGGCGGCCAAGTCCGGACGTCAGGCTCTGATGTCTGCGACTCTGCGAAGATGGTTGGTTCCGGATGGGCAACAGCTGGTGCGGATGACGTGCTAGCCGTCTGTGACGACACGGCTCGCGCTCTCCAAATCGGAAAATAGAGACTGAGTTTGAACATCGGTGAAAGCTAGGTTCCAGAGCAGATCTATAATTGCTTTTTGTATTGCTGATTCTTTGGCCCTCCTTTCCGCCAGAGTCTCCGACATCTGGATGAGACAGCTGGGGTACTTTGAGATCTCGATATGTCGCACATGGTGAAGGGCTAGGGATCGGTACCCCGCAAAATGTCGTGATGATCGACAGCGGACGGGGTGTGAGAACTGAGAAGATGCGACCATTGGTGGACTGAGCGACGAGGAATCAAGCCAGTCAGCATGCGCTCCATCCAACTATGGGGACTTAAGGTTACTTCGACTTACTGGCTGGCCGCAATCGTTTCCTACAAGTCATAGCGGGGCCACTGGTGGTCCCTTGTCGGTTGCATCCTGTCCAGCATCATCGACCATGGTAGTATCCAAGGTCTGGCAGGACTGGAGGATGTCTGTATACAGATGGAGTCACGATCGATAAGGCAGCGCCCAGCTCAGATCGACGCTGGAAGAGAGACGGAGCAAATGCCTCCTTTCCCAAAAGGGTCTGGACGTGCTCAGTCATCGCCAGAAATGGTATAGTGCAGGACTCTCGATCACATGTTTTCGAACCGGCTGATGTAAGCAATTGATTATGTCATTGGTGTCAAGCATCACGTGAGATTATGAGATCATGTATTCCTAAGGCATCATAGAAAGCACAATTTCCATATGCAGGCTCTCTCATCTTATGCCAATGTGCATTATTCTCAGCTAGTACCTTAGTAAGCGGAACTGTAACTCCCAAATTCGCACTTAAAGAGGCATCGCCAGTTCTCCTTCTAGCCAACATACTAGCATTCCAGTATAGGAATCTCTCGCTACCTCGGTTGAAGAACCCGCATGCTCTTGATGACATAGTCTCTCATGACCTCATCCTTCTTCTGCTTAACATATCGTTTCTTTATTTTAGTTCCATTTACATATGCCTGATATTGTAGGACGATCGGCTATTCTATCGCACTAACACAGCACAACAGTCCGATGTTAGCAACCAAGGAGAAGACATCATCACAAGCAAATACAACCCATCACGGACTTGTACGGTGTGTCTTCCTAACCGGGCAATCACCCCAGAACCCTGACGTCGTTCAAAGCGCAGGTGATAGCCATGGCAGTCGCGAATGAATCAGTCGCTGGACCGGGTTAGTGATCGACATGATTGTCGAGCGGCCGCGGACTCCCTCCCCATAATGGATGGGTAGGATCTACACGTGGCAGGTTAGTGTGGACGTTTGAAACGAACCGTTGCAACGACCAAGATCATTGTCCATATTTTGGGTTATGATAAGAGTTCAAGATATTCTGATGCATAGATAAGCATGAGAGACTGGAAGTAGGTCGTATGATCGATCCAGTTGCCACACGAGAGCTGGCACCAAAGCTACCACCACCGCCCTTTCCCTTCCCAACCAAAGTCACAATTTGTGGACATCCAGCTAGTAAGGCACTACGGTACTTTTATCCAGGGGTCTGCATCTCTCCCAGCGAATTCCGACCACTGGCATAACCGCCAAATGCCAGATAAGGGACTTCGATCAGCCAGTCATATCTGAAGTGCTGCCGCCAGGGCCTCATGGTTGACCGTTCCCGGTCTGGCCCAAAAATTGGTCGATCTTGCCTTGATTCACAGAAATGGGTGGAGTTTCTGGAGTCGGCATCGACACCCAGTGAGCTGAGGCCGGATCCACTCCCGCTCGCTTGAACCGTGGTTCACACCTGAGACAGGTCTGGACGTCTCTGGGTGTGCGACTCGCTTTTCCGACGTTCGGATGCTTGCCTAATGTAGCGAGGACTGAGTCGTTTAGCGATGAAGAACGATTATGGTCCAGCCGGCCAAGCGCACTATTGAGGAGTAGGATATCTATAGCCTGCTTCCTCGCTCACCGTAAGCCCGGATCGATGTCTCACTCCGGTACGCCGACCGACAAGAAAATAGGCACGATTCCCGGCGATGGCAAACCTGCCCAACCGAGTAATTCCTCCGGTGTCAAATGATGGTACAGAAGCACGCACTCCCGACAGAGCGCTGTGGAGAGATCCCTGGAGAAGAGGATACTCTGTAGATTACAGAGGAAAACTTTGGGTCCGGAGAATAAGTGGGCTCCGCAAAACGATATACGGCACACAGTAAATGTCTGAACTCATTATTATATGGCATTAAATAGCAGGACAAGTTGGCGTAACTCGTGAACATGCGTTTGGCTGTCTAGAGTGAGACAGATAGTAGTAGAGGTAGTATAGAAACAAACAAAAGAAACATGTCTCGCTATGAGCGGCTGGTCCGGTCACTACCCCAGCGGCTGCCCTTTTGGTTGGACACCACCGAGATCTCAACCTGCTTCTTAATCCCCCGCCCGGACTCCACCATCGACCCCGAATGGTAGCTATCCTTAAGGATCTGCTCGATACTGTCGCAGTCATCGCGGTTGTCCGTACTGGGCTGCTCCTGCGCATGAGACTGGAAGGTGCCGTTCTTCGCGGTTCCTTTCTGACCTGAGAGCGGACCACTGAGTTCGTAGGAGCGAGAACGTGCCGCACTTGAAAGCTTTCTCACAGACGAGATAAGTAGAGGTCGGATGCAGGGCACGGAGGAGGTGATGATAATGATCAGGTTCTCTGAGAAACCCCAGCGAATCAACTCGACCGCACCGCCGGCACCGAGGTTCGTGATGCTAGGGACTTCCTTGAGTTTGGTGGTCTTGATGATCGAGGCGACCATAGCACTAGTTCTGTGTAAGCTGACAGGACAATAAGTGAAACCGTTGATATACTGACACTATTCCGAGACTAAGCAGGATAATCAAACTGACTTTGATCCGCAGCTTCAAGTTTAGGTTCCAGAAAATAATGGTGGGGAACACCGCCAGGAAGAGATCAGTAGCAGAGTTGACGGCTAGATACACCTGACGTTAGCCATACATCCCAGTTGAGACGGCCAGTGGATGGCAAGGACCTACTTGACGAAAAGTAAGAAAAGTTGACCACCGCGACACTACTACCACATGTTGTCTTCACGGTTGGATCCCAAAGAACGCGAGCGTTGCGGCAGATGGAAAGTGGCAGTACCGCAGAAACGATGTTGGCGCTGAGCTGCAGCAACATGACAATCCATAATGCGACACAATACTTCTTCTTTCCACCGAGGATAGCCAACAGGTAGAGGACAAATGATGAGCGGGCGATGCCGGTGCTGAGGGTGACAAGGAGTACCTCGAAGGAGATGTATTTCAGCACCTTCGAAGTGTTATGGAACGGGAGTTTGGTGAGATTCGTGCCGAAGCCATTTTGGACAGAAAGCGTCAAGATGACCGTGGATGCGAGTGTCAGTGCCTGAAACACAGATGGTCAGACATGCGACAAAAGGGCCCATGGTTAGTGCGGGGAGAGGAAAGGACGATTAGTTACCCAGGCTATGATCATCAACACATCGTCAATGCGAAAGTTGCGAATCTTGATCTTTGCAATTATTCGGAGAATGAGAATAAAGGTGGCTATTGCAACTGCAGCCCACATGCCCCTTTCCAGGGCCAGTCCGGAAGGGTTGGTTATGCTGGAACCCATCACGAAGGGCAAAGGTCCGCGACGATAGAGGTCATTCTTTGGCAGAACAGATGCGACCACTCAAGTATATTTATTTTATCGTAAGACTAACTTGCTTCCCACAAGATTTCGGCACCAGGGGAATTATACTTTCTGAGTCGCCTTAGTCCTGATGACTGCCGACTGGACAGGTTCGTGCATGGCTGGGATATTGGATCCATGGTGCAGATAACATAATATTAGGGAGATTTGGTCCTTCCATCCATCCAATTCCTGGGTACTCCGGCGACCCGACGGACAAATCTCGCGAAAGACAGTGGAGACTATTGTCCCAGTTGGCCAGGGCAATTGGACAAAGCTTTCCCCAATAGGCAGACGTCGCCGGGGAAAAGAGTCCCAGAGTCTGAATAATCCAACCCTACTACTGGAATCCTGGTGGCGCTTAGCGTGCAGCAGTGGATGCATTCGCCACGAGGTGAACAGGGGTCGGCTTCATCCTTGTTCATTTCTAGAATAACACCAGGATTCTCACTTGCCGGTACTCCAATTTATTAGGACTCCTGCAGCCGGCACTGAAGATAATCAAATGACCGTTATGGCCTTCCCACTTTCTGCAGATCTACCCATGCCCTACGGGGAGGGTAGAGAGATGATCCCTTGCTCTAAGCTCACCATGGACAGCGACCGGTACGGGGATCCTCACGTCGTGTTTGCTTGAAATAACGGTGGGTCGTTGTCAAACTTTGAGGGAAATTTTTTTCAGCTTATTCAAGCCACATTCCAGAGTTGAGAGATGCCGCAGCCAGCACACTCAGGAACAAGCCTTTGGCGTTCTTGGTCTTGGTCGCAAAGAAAAGTTACGTACACCGGCAAGGGAGAGGGAAGGGGAGATTTGAATCAAAATAAAATTAGGAGCAACTGAACAGACTAGAAATATTAGCGACAAGTTCTTTCTATCTCAGACCACGGAGGAATCGCTAGCAGGCACCGAAGCAAGCCGAAGGAGTCAGTCAGCAGCGTGTGAAGGATTCGGCACCGTCTGTTCGTGGACGAGGGCAAAGACAAATCCCCGGAACATCCGCGGTACTCATTTTTAGACGCACCATCGGCCAGCTGCCAATAAAACGGTT